GGGTCCTCTCCCCTCAGGCCATGGAAGGATGGCAGCAGATGAATGAGCCCAGATTTTAGCTGAAACGTATTACCCTCATCAAGTGTAGGGAAGGTAATACACAGTGGTTGTTGGTTGAGGTTTGGAGCTGTGAGCTCCCTCAGCGTTCTTGTTTCAAGAGCCATTGTGGTTGGCTCTTCGGTGTCGCTAGAACTAGAGCTAGAGGTGTATGAATCTCTGGAAGATGATTCTTCCGAGTCGGTGTTAGAAAATTTACTTTTCAAACGCTCGAAAGTTTGTTCTATTTCTGGGTTTTTGTGATATGTGATTTCGTTTATGGAACGATGTTTAACCATAAACTCCACTAAGCTCAGAAAATAGAAGAATAAACACTCTTTATATTTTTGTTTGATATATATTTTTTTGATTTTTCTTGATATGAAATAAGAGAAAAATTAATTGCCTTTCCCCGGCAACGGTGCCAAATTTGACGTGCACTTGTCGTTAGGTGCACTCAAAATAAATACAATACAATCACTAATACGTAGTATAGTGTAGTAAGGTTCGTATCCACAGGGAAAGGAATACTTTTCTTTTATATAAATAGTAACAAAAGGGGGGTTTAGATTTGTTTGCTTTAAAAACACTAAGATAGACAACCTATATGAGTTTAATTCAATGAGATGTGGAGGCTTGGTTTTGCTTTCATCCACTTAATGAAATGTTCGTCGATCCCGGTTATATCTTTAACTATCTTCCTCTCGAATACTCAATCGAGGAGTATATCCAGTTCATCGAGGGTAGTTATTAATAACGAGATGCGTTCATTAATAAAACTTACTATCGAGTCAATATAGAACAAGCGCCGTATATTAACTTGATAGTAGCAATAAACTTAAGATGAAAACGATTGAGATTGATAACCTCAACACAAGCGGTTTATTGGTTTAATCAATATAATTAATTCCCCTTGGCATATTAACCATGAGATGCATGCATTAATATTCCAAGTTTACTACCGTTGAAAGAACCGGATTTATAACAAGCGTATTAACCGATCAATTCTAGTAATAATTAATATGAGAAACAATACTAGTTGATACTTTAAGTAATGTTTAAGATATTAACATGAAATATGAATGGGAATTAATTAATACTCAAGGAAGAATATTAAAGAATATGAATCCTACTATGATTAATATCAAGATGTTAACTAATTGTCATCTTAGTAACACTCCCCAATATTAACATAGAGGAAGAAATAGCTATTACTATAACCAATGTCAAGATGTTAACTAATTGTCATCTTAGTAACACTCCCCAACTTTGATATAGAAATAGTATTTGAAAGGAAGAATTAATATTCAAGGAAGAAGATTAAAGAAAATAACTCACAACTTACAAATTCATTAAGCTTCAAAGTAGCAAAACCAAGATGGAAGAGTTTAGCTCCTCATTTGGAGACTAAACATGATGAAAAATATAAAGAAAGAGCTATTCTATACTGAGCTTAGATGTACAAAGGAATTGGATATCTTTTTGTGAAGGAAAGGAGGTGTATTTATAAGCTTTGGGATGGGATTTGGGTACTCGATCGGGTATATACATGGTACCCGATCGAGTACGTGTGTAACACTCGATCCGAGGTATACTCGACCGGTTTCAGGCTATTTTCCATAAGTATACCCGATCGAGTATATATTAATACCCGGTCGAGTATGCTTAGAAAATGGTATTCGGACCATACTCGACCGATCTTCGTTTGAAACTCAAAGGCATACCCGATCGGGTATGTCGGTCTACCCGATCGGGTATAGACATAAAATCGTGGCCGAAATCTTCCCGGCATGTTCCCTTGTCTTCGGATCTGATCCGATTTGAAGTTCCAACCTAATACCCGATCGAGTATAGCTAATACTCGACCGAGTATAGACCAAAATTCAGGATCTTCTTTTGTCTTTGAACTTTTGCACCTTCTTTCCACTTTTTGGGTTTACCAACTGTACTTCGAGTGATCAAGACCTGTTTGAGCTCAGAATATATCTAATCTAACCTATTTACAAGAATTTAACAAACTAATCTATTACACCAAAAATGTGTAATTTCCAAAGTAAAGATCAAGCAAAACTAATTAAAAACACAAACATAAATATGGAAATTACAAATGTATCATTAATCTATGTGGATGACATGTTGATTATTAGCCCTTGTCTTAAATCTATTATGTCTGTTCAAAAATGTCTTTGTGAGAACTTTGCGATGAAAGATCTTGGTGATGCCAAGAGGATACTTGGGATTAACATTATTAGGGACAGGAGCAAGCATACTCTTGTTCTAAATCAGATTTCGTATGTTGAGAAGGTTTTGAGTAAGTTTAATATGTCTTCTGTTGCACCTGTGCATGTTCCTCTTGCCTCTCATTTTGGGCTAAGTAAGAATCAGTCTCCTAAGACTGCTTCTGAAATTGAGCTTATGAAGTCTGTTCCTTACTCCAATGCTATAGGTTCTGTGATGTATCTGATGGTTAGTTCTAGACCTGATATTGCCTATGCTGTGAGTTGTTTGAGTAGGTTTATGTCTAATCCTGGTATGCCTCATTGGAATGCTTTGAAATGGCTTTTGAGATACTTGAAATTTTCTGCAAATCATGGTTTGATGTTTACTAAGTGTACTGAAGGTGTGAAACTGAGTGGTTATGTTGACTCTAACTACGCTAATGATAAAGACAATAGGAAATCTACCACTTCCTATGTGTTCACTTTGTGTGGTTCGTGTATTAGTTGGAAATCTCAGTTACAACCAATTGTTGCCTTATCAACCACTGAAGTTGAGTATGTTGCAGCTACAGAAGCTTTCAAGGAAGCCATCTGGTTAAGTTGTCTTGTTGCTGAAATAGGTTTTCTTAAACAGGATGTTACTGTGTTTTCTGATAGCCAGTCTGCTATCAAGCTTTGCACAAACCCTATTTTTCATGACAGGACCAAACACATTGATGTGAGGTTCCACTTTATTCGTGATGTTTTAGATGCAGGTAAGGTGAAGCTGTGCAAGATACCCTCAGAGTTCAACCCTGCAGATATGGGGACGAAGTGTCTATCTGCTGAAAAACTTTTGTCTTGTAAACGAATTTTGAATTTGGACTGCGGTTAACTCTGTTTGTAGGTTTTGGGTATGTTGGAGGGTAGATTCTTGAAAGCGTAGTGCTTGAGAGAATCTACTCTCACGGTTAGGGAGAGTACTTTGGGTACTTCTCCAATTTCCTTTTGGGAGTATTTTTTGTATCTCCAATTTGTTTGCCAGTTATGTCTTTGGGATATCACTGGTGACCCAGCGATGATGAACCACGTGCTCATGTTACTTTGTGATATCATGCACCACCAATGATGGCCAATAAGGTGGAGAGTGTGGAGGTATTGGCCCCACGGGCCAAGGCAGTCCTCTTCTACTTTGTTGGGCCTGTTTGCTTACCTCTTGCCCTGGCCCAAGTTGTTCTGCCGCTAGCCCTTCTTCTGGAACCCTCGTTTAGGGCTTCCCCTCTTGCCCGGGTACTTAAGCCTCTCTACGTCTTTGGTTGACGCAGAGGTCTTTGGTTAGAGAGAGAGAGAGTGAGGTTAAGAGAGAAGTGAGAGAGACTTCTGTCTCTTCTCCATTCCGGTCCCTTTGTGGTATTCTCTCTGGCTTCCCCTTTTCTGACCTTTGGCGTGCGTTGAGATGACTGGGCTGGCCTGAGTGTTCTTGTCCTTTTAGGTGGTGCTTTGGTGTGTGTGCTGTATGAGCGTGGTCTGATCTGGAGAGGTGAAAACCTGACAGTTCCCACTCCCACTGGATTTTTTTTGACTCAACGTCAATACATACTCAATATTTTGGAGACAAGCAACATGAATGGAGCAATACCGCCGGGCTCTAGGTCTTCTCCAATATCTGTCCTTCACTCATCCCGACATCTCATTTGCTGTCAATCGGTTGTCTCAATTCATGCATGCTCCCACCGAGACCCATTGGCAAGGTGTGAAAAGAATATTATGGTATCTCAAAGGCACTCTCGATCATGGCCTCTTTCTCAGCCGGTCCTCATCCTTGACTTTATCCGTATTCTCATATTCTGATTGGGGAGGGGTGCATGATGGGGGCCGTTCAACTACGGCTTATGTTCTCTACTTAGGCAGTAATGTTATCTCATGGAAGTCAGGAAAGCAGAAAACAGTTTCTCGTTCTTCTACTGAAGCTGAATACAAGGCTGTTGCGAATGCTAGTGCAGAAATGTTGTGGGTGCGCAACTTGCTAGCCGAGCTGGGAATTTCGCTTGCCTCTACCCCACAGTTTTTTTGTGACAACCAAGGAGCTACCTACGTGTGCAGTAATCCTGTTTTTCATTCTCGGATGAATCATCTTGCCTTGGATTTCTTCTTTTTACGAGAACTGGTTGAGCGTGGTCAATTGGTGGTCAAACATATTTCTACAAAACATCAGATCGCTGATATTCTCACCAAACCTCTCAGCAAGGGTCCATTCCTTTACTTTCGATCCAAGCTGAGAGTATCCAACGGATTCTCCATCTTGCGGGGGCATATTAACGCATAATATTAATATAATATTATTGTACATTTGTTATACTCCCTCCGTCCCTTATAACTTTGCCAACTTTCCTTTTTTGGTTGTCCCAAAAACTTTGTCACTTTCCCTTTTAATCAATCAATTTGTGGCTTCTGTTATTTCTCTCCTCTGCACAAATCTCTACCACACAGTTTTTACTTTATTATTCTACGTGCCGGTCAAACTTGTCAATCCTTTTAGGGACGGAGGGAGTATGTAATTATCTCATACAGTAGTTAGTATTTGTATTTATCCCATACGTATGACTAGCTATATCCCTTAGTTTGTGATTAGTTTGTTATTTGATCATATCACCACCTATTGTAACTCTATATATTCATGTACGTAGCTAAAACTAAATACAACAATTCAATATCTTCCATTATACTTCTTCATTCTACACCCAATGTCACGAATATTGTGACCACCCTACTTAATGCGATTGAGGATTATCTTCCTTGGCGGACCCAATTTAATTCATGCCTCAGACATGGAGGCTTATTCGCTCACTGGAAGCTCTAATTGAGAAGTATCATTTGAAATTTTCTGCTGCTAACTCTGGCTACACATACGATTTGCGTACTTCTGGGAGAGGTCGGTTCATTCTTGTGGTTAAAGTAGGAAGGGAGCCGTTGATCCTTGGAATCAGCAGCGTGAAGGACAGGGGGTGGATGACTAAATTTTTCATCGTAGAAAGGTCTTCTTTCTGAAGAGGAAACGAATGACTCATCCTCCCTCTCTAGTGATTAAAGTTGCTCCTTTGATTACATGCTCATTGCCTACACCCCCTATCCCTGTTGTCAGAAGTGGCCAGTCAATGGACCCTGCTAAGCTGAATATTGAGTTCCCTGGTGACTTTTGTCGCTTAGAGAATGCCTTGCAACTGAGGAACGAGATGTCCCAGATGCTGCTTCCCTCTGCTAAGAGCGCATTTCGGGGTTCTCTCTTGTTGAGATGCTTTCTGCTTTGTCTGAATTCGCCTTCCAGGTTTGGATATTTGTGCATTTCATTCCTTTTGTTTCTCTGCTATACTTTCTGCTTTGCTTATATACTTTCTGCTATCCAAGCCAACTTGGCTGCCGTGGAGCGCACACAAGACCTGGAAAGATCACTTGCAGAGTCTAAGCAGAACGAAGAGATTGTCAAGAAGAAGTTGTCCGACATTGCTCAGGTGAAGTTGAGGTTGGACGAGAAGGTGACCGCCCAAGACGGGACGATCAGGAGGCAGAGTGAGGAGCTGGGGGTTCGGGCTGCTAGAATTAAGAGTTAATTCCCTAAATAGGACTAAAACAACGATGAAATGCACAAATAGGACCTTCATGTTTCATAGGACTAAAAATGTACATACTTTACAAAATTACCCTTAATGAATTTGTAAATCTATTTACAATTAAAAATAAAAACAAATGAAAAACTTTCTAAGTCTCTAATTTCCACGGCCGCATCTAGCATTCAAGAAGCCACCACCCCACTTCAATTCCGCCACCACCACTTCAATTCCGCGACCGCCACTTCAATCCTGCCGCTGCTACTTCCGGCACTGTCACCGCCGTCACTCTTGCCGACACGCTCGCTGCCGCCTTCATAGCACGCATCACTGCACGACCACCAACAGTTTCCAAACTCCAAAACCTATCATGTTGCTGCAAAAAAGTCATTTTATTCACAAAATAAAAATGACATAATTCTACCATCTTGAACAAAATTTGAACAGAATATTGGCAGTAAAATGTCTTGCTTTCTAACATCGAGATGGAAATATTGCCAATTCTATGGCAGTTTCGTTCATAATATTTGGTAGTTTTTCGGTGATTTTAAAATTAATATGAACATCTTCTATAATTTGACATAGAATTGGCAATTATACAATTGGTAGAAATCCATGAAACTGCCATAAATTTGTTAAAAAACATAACTTTTTACTGTCATTATACAATTGGTAGAAATCCACGAAACTGCCATAAATTTGGCAAAAAATGAAGCCAAAGTAAAAAAAAAATAGAATAAAGTAAATTTATTAACGACATCAGAAACTTGAATGAAATCAGATCCAGAACTAAGAAGCCAATGTTCAAAAAATAGAAACAAAAATATCAAAATTAAGGAATTCCAAAATTTCAATAGTTTTTGGGGGATCTATCAGATTTTAAAAGAAGAAGAAGATGGGGGAAGAAGAAGGAAAAGAGGATCGGAAGAAAGAAAATGAACCTCAGATTCGTGCTAAAGAGAGACGCAGGGAGAGAGGCACAACAACGAAATTGAGATTCTTGAAGCGACAACGAAATGACTCGAGATTCTTGCAGCAACGAAGTCGGTCCGCGGTGAAGAGCGATGCAGAGAGAGTCAGAGAGACGCAGAGGAGAAGCACGGGGAGGGAGGCGTGACTGCTTTGGGAGATTGAGATGAGCGCAGGGAGAGAGCGATTAAAGTTTAGGATTTTTAATATTATTATATAGGAGGGTATAATGGTAAACTGAAGTCCTATTTGTGGAATTAAAAACGGTTGGTCCTATTTGTGCATTTATGTTTCTTATTAATCCTATATAGGACAATTACTTTAGAATTAAATCCTTGGAGGTTATGGGAGGAAGAAGAGACAGGAAGTCATGGACGCGACTGAGTTCTACGCTTGGCAGACCAAAAAGGACATCATGAGATCCTTTCTTGCAGGTGAAGCTGATAAATGGAATCCTGAAGCTGACATCGACACCTTGTATATGTATTTCGAAGGCACCGAACCTTCTATCAGTGATGACGAATTTGACTTAGGTACATGCAATACTGAAGCCGACTCCGATCCTTCCAACCAGCCATGATTTGTCGTTGTTTCTTTTTTATCATCCAAACAGTCTTCTTTTGCTAGACTACCTAACTTTTCAACTTCTTTAGACATCTTGTTTTGGACCACATCGACTGCTAGTTTATCCAGGGTTCAGTGGTCCTGGTTTTGATGTTTGGCCTCTAAATGCCTTTCTAACATTTGTCATAACATGTAATTTCTTTAGTTTTTTTTTTAGTAATTTCTTTAAATGTAATTTCTTTAGTTTTAAATGTAGTTGTTGCTCATATGTTGACGTCACTCATAGGAGTACTGTTGGTGTTTTGGCCAAAACTTGCAACGTGCGTGGGTCCGTTCTTCATATTTCATTTATGAATGACCCAAGCTAACCATGTTGTCCCTTATTGATGTAATTAGATGATGTGTGCAGATGTTGTCAAGGACTGCTCTCATTGGTTACAACAATAATCGTCGCCTTATTTCATCTACATACCGCATCTAGTCTGTTGTCGGAGTTTGGACGTCGGCTAGAAGTCGATGACCCTGGGATGCTTAAGTTAGTAATCATGAACCAATGGAAGTAACAATATTATTGCCACCTACTCAATTTTTTTTATGAAAGGTAAGTATATTAAAAAGCATCCAAAAATAACATATACATGTATCAAACTATAAAGCTAGTAAACCAACTAAATAGTGTCCAACCATTCAAACCCCCCACCCCCATGAAGAGGCATGTGGGGGCAGAGAGTTTTTTGGTGAAAGAACAAAACGGCACGGGACAGGCCCCGGCTAGTATCAAAGTAATCAAAGTTGTACCGGCCCTGAAGGGCCGGTCAGTAACAAGTCATAACCCTCTCGTATGGGGTTGTCCGTGAGCAAAGAAGCCCAGTTCCAGCAAGACCAAGTAGCCAAATCAAACAAATTCACTTGTGCCCGGGAATCAACACGCATCGATCCCACCTGACCAACAGCCCATTCACCTGCTCAAATTTTGACTAGGTTGGCCATCGGCTTGAGGCCAACGCCCCTCCGACAGTCAAATTAGTAAACGAACAAAGTAATTCTAGTTAAGTAAAATTGTGTTTAAAAATGAAAAAGTTTGAGGTGTACCGCATTCTATCTTCTTGGGATTTGCTTACCGTCAATGGATTCCAACTGGTATGCCCCATTCCCGACGACTTCGATAATATGGTAGGGGCCTTCCCAGTGTGGACTGATTATTTCACTTGCCTCTTTACCGAATGATTTCCTGAGTACCCAATCAATTGCCTCGACATATTTGCGACAATTTGTCTCGGGAATATTCCCGCGCATCTTTTTTGCTGCAGAATAGGTTAGTCCAGATAAATAAGATCCACCATTAATAAAATTGATTACCTTGTGGGGAGCGGGAGGTGACGGGGGTCGTTGCTCGATAGCTGACGACTTCTGATCTCGATGCAAAAGGGATTTGGTATGCTCGGACATTATCTCAGTAAGGTAGCCATTCCTTAAGAGGTAAGGAACTTCTTTCCTCGATGCGATGCAGTCTTCTGTGTTGTGCCCAATGTCATCATGAAAGTTACACCTTTTACCGGGATCTCGTCGCCCACTGGTTTGCTAGACTTCTTGGGCCAACAGACCTTCTCTCCTAATTTGTCCGGAGAGTTGCTGAGTCCTGATACGTCAACACTGAAGCAATACTCCAGAATGGATGGCGACAGACTGGGATCATCGAGCCAATTAGCCACCTCTGCCACCGATCGATCTTCAGCCTTTGTGTAGGGCTTCCCGGTCTAGTAATCATGTGTTTCTTGATGAACTCACCTTCTGTTGACCTCCTTCATATCCATCTAGTTGCTGACGGGATTGTTGATCTTCTCTTAGTCGGATGAATGCCAACGTCTTGGCTTGGACATCCTCAAAACCCCGACATGGGTATTTGGTCAACTCTCGATATAACTCTGAGTCCTCCAACAGTCCTCTTCTGAATGCTTCAACTGTTGTCGGTATGTCACACCTAGGAATCGACACCTTATCTCTGTTAAATCGATGCAAATAATCCCTTAAGACCGCATTCCGTCATTGGTTTACTCGGTAGAGGTCACTGGTTTGCTTCTCGAGAACCCGACTTCTTGCAAATTGCTGGTTGAATAGATTGACGAGTTTTGTGAATGAGTTGATTCCTTCGTTGGGCAAATTGACGTACCATGTCAACGCTTGTCCCGTCAATGTCGTCCTGAACACTCTACACATGCATGCTTCACACTGCTCTGACCTGACTGAAATGGCTGGCATCCGCTGCTTGTATTGGGTGATATGCTCCAATGGATCGGAAGTTCCATCAAACAACTTCATTGAAGGGGCGGTGAACTTCCTTGGGATCTCGACGTCAGTGATATGTCATCCAAAGGGAGAATCTGTGTAACACGTCCGCGAGGCGATATCCAATGGTGGTGGCACTCCGAGCATGTCATTAATCTTTTCTAGCATTAACTGCTCTCGACTCTTCTATGATGACGGCCATGGGGTCCATCGGATCTGTCCGCATCTGTCTCATCGTCGGGATAGGTGGTGTTAGCACTTGCGTCACCTCTTGTCTGATTGGCGACAATATGATGATGACTTCAGGTTCTTGCTGCCTTTGTCTGTTGATATCGATGTCTTGAGATGTCGACATGGTCTGGAGCTCATAGCCTTTGGGGTTCCGCAAATAGGTTGTGGAATACATTCCGTCTAGGATTTGGAAGGGGACAGATCGAGTTGACGATCCCGGTTCTCCAGACATCTCGGTCCCCGAATGAGGAATGATTGGTTCTGTTGGAGCTGACACGGCAATTGAAATCGACATCCTTTCATTGATTGAATGCAGACCTGCCATCACTGGTCTTCTTCGCAATGAATCTGGAAAGAAGCACATCAGGATATTAGGGACTCAAGTCGTCTTCAGAACAAGAGGTACATAAGGTATGACTTGTGAGATAACCGTGGATTGAGGATCACCGGTCAGTGACAAGACTAGCGTGAGAGAGACATAATTTGTTGTGGTAGCGGGTGGTTCCGTCGCAGTTGGGGTGAAGCCTAGCCGCCTAGGTCCAACCTAGTAGTGGCGGTCATAGCGTTACTCCTTTCATTGTTTCTTGAATTAGAGGCTATGGAGACCGCCGATTGAACCTGAGATCCTAACACGTCATTTTCTCGCTGAAGGTGAGCCACCCGTTCCGCCATTTCACGACGGATTTCTTCTTCTATTGACTCCATGTGCTCGTGAAGCTCATTCATTAAAGGAATATTTCTGGCCATGATCGATTCTCTTTTGCACTAATTTCCCACAGACGACGCCAAACAAATTGTCTATGCTAAAAATAAACTAATCTAAAATAAGAATGAAATGAGAATCGAGAAAATATAAATCAACAATGCACCAGCTAAAGAACTAAGAAAAATGATGATCGAATAGTATTGAGTAGTTCGAATAATTCGAGTGTTGGTATGAACGTAGTTGATTGTGTTTTATATCATGTATATCTCCTATATTTGTTCTACCTAACCTC